AAAGGGGTCGCTTGCACTGCAGAAAAGTTACCTCTGAAAGAAAATAACACAATACGATCTGTCTTTTGAACCATAGGAACAGGTGTAGACCATTCAGCCCTTCGAGCCGGTTCTGCCATTTTATAAGATCACGGCTGATATGTATCTCAACTCCAGTTACCTGCCCTTGCGCTGTATCCCTTGATACCCCGACCTTACAAACATCTATCCACTTCAGTCTGGACCGTGTAAATGGATCCAGCATCCACAGCCTTTTGGAGGAGAGAATTCCAGATATCCACTACCCTCTGTGTGAAAAACTGCCTCCTGATTTCACCCCTAAACTCCCTCCATCCAAAAGCTATTTTAGTTGTGATCCAAACCCTGCAAAATATTTCCCCGACTAGTTTGCTACAGTCTTATATATTCTCTGAGTAAATCCCAACGTGCAGGCATTGAGGTGGAGAGATCAGCCAATCAGGGTCACAAGTACAAAACACAGGATCCAAAACATTCTGTCCTGGCGTCTTGTACAGAGGAAGGAATTACATCCCAGCATTACTCCTCAGCTCAAGCCTCTCCTGCACCCAGGCCCACAGGATTAGCGCCTGAACTTGTTGTTTCACAAACATGTGAGAGAGATTATGGAAATGTCTCCCTCAGACTTTTGCACAAATTAACCCCTGTGCAACCAGCTCCCTCTCAGTGCCTGACGGGCAGACGGCGAAATTTCAGTGAACGTGTTCATTTCATTTGGAGCCGGAAACGAGCGCAAAATGCTTCTCGTTCATCGGAATGAGTGGGACACATTTTACAGCCCAGAAGGAGGCCATTTGGCCTATCGAGTCTGCACTGGTGCTAACTCCTTCGCCTGATCTATTCCCTTGAATTCCGTTCCTCAAGCCCCCCCCACCCCGTCCCCCTTACCCAACCTCCAAGTACCATTTATTGCTTTCCCTCCTGTATTTATCCAATTCCCTTTTAAGTGCTGTTTATGGACCAGGATTTGGCAGCCCTTGGAGGTAAGGCATTCCACATTCCAACAAGTGTCTGTGTAAAAACTCTTCTGAACTCTTCTGTTCTTTTTGTCCGTTGCTGAGCTTTAAGAGTGTGTGAGAGAATGCAAACGAAAGATTTTTTGCTTGCAAATCTCAGTAGTGGTTAACGAACCCTTTAGCTGCAGGCCATTCTCAATGTTACATGAAATGGACCCTTTATCTGGAGTTCATGGATCGTGCCAAAGTGCCTTGAGCCCCGTTGGTGCCTCCCTGTGTTAAGTAGTTCAAGAAACATCCAAGTCACCGATTCTGTTAGACATTTTTAACTCGGGATACCAACCACTTTCAATACAGTTGCACAAACTGGTGGTAAACTGATTGCTCAGATGAGCGTTAACACCCTCCTCACTTGTGGTACTGCCCACTATTATCCTGAGAGTTCTGATTAACTTTTATTTTGCTTAGTTGAGGTCTGTGCTGGGGTAAGTGAAGTTTATCTTTTCACCCTGCGCTAAGTGTAAACTTACAGTTTGCTGTTCAGCACAAGGGATGCTTATAGCTGGTTTGTGCTGAAGTCAAGCACTGAGTAAGTGGTGGAGTGCATAATCAGCGTAGCTGTGTGCACTGCAAATGGGATTTCAGAGAGCAGAGAGAACAAGATCAGCTCTGCAATTCCGTGATAAGATTGGCATTACCTTTGACTAAAAATAATAAATATAATAAGCTTTGCATTTGGCTTCTGCCCCCAGCTCGGGTGTCCAGCCAGCAGTGTTAAGCGTTTTCAGATGTGAATGATGATATAAGAATGTAAATGTTATATAATGTTTTTCGTATCAGGAGGATGTCTCAAAGCACTTTACAGTAAATCCTGTGAAGTGCTTTGAGACATCCTCCTGATACGAAAAACATTATATGTTGACTGTGTATTTTGTCAGGAAAAGCAAAAGCCAATTTTGGGCACCGTAATAATAATAATAATCCTTGCATTTAATACAGCGCCTTATCATGTATTCAAAACGTCTCAAAGCTCACAAAATTTATTGTAAAGTGAACTGACTGTATATTTTGTGGGCAAAATGTGGCAGCTAATTGCGCACAGCAGCGTCCCACAAACAGTCGTGACAAATTTATTAAGTGACAAATTTATTATTATTTTTTATATAGCGACAATGTCCCACAAATGGCCACGAAGTGAGCGATTGTATCTGGGGGAGCTTTGGGCAGGACGCTGGGGGAAACTCCCTTCTCTTTTGGGGATCTTTAACATTCGCCTGAACAGTCAAACAGGACTTCCCTGCATCTTCATGCTGTTGAAATCGAATCCCTGTGGAACTCCACACTTTCCTGAGTCCTCTTGACAAGCTCCAGCGTAAGGTCCCAAGCTTAGTTACTAGCATGTGAATCAGTAACTAGACAGCATAGTTTTCAGATCAGAACCAGGGAGACATTAAGAAAAGGTTATTTAAAAAAACACACAGAATGTTGTCAGGCACAGAATACCCTACCACAAATGATAGCCTAAAGACAGCATCTTGAAAGAAAATTGGATAAATACTTGAAAAAGAACAGATAAAAAAGAAGTGGGGGGGAAGGTGTTTGTGGGACACTACCGTCGCAATTGTATGTTTCGTTTCACACACAAAATTTACAGTTGATCCATTTTACAGTATATTCTGTGAAGCACTTTGAGACGTCTCAAAGACGTGATAAGGCACTATATCAAATGCAGAGGGATGGCACAGGCACAATGGGCTTATTCTCTGCTGAAAACATGCATTAATTCTATGATTATGACGCACTAAAGTTTGATTTTTGTTGTCCTCTCTCGGCCTTGATGGTGTCCGTTCAATGAGGCTTCTTAATAGACATGAGCATTTCTTCCCTCTTGCTGTTTTATCTCCCTTTTACCCCTGACTGTGATACTGTGTCAGTGAGAGCTCTGCCCAGTCAGCCGGTAATAACAATAATAATCCTTGCATTTGATATAGCGCCTTATCACATCGTTGTGACGTTTCAAAGCGATTCACAAAATATAATGTCAAGTGAATTGACTGTATATTTGGTGGGCGAAACACAGCAGCCAATTGTGCACAACAGTGTCCCTCCCACAAACAGTCATGACTTGAGGGACTACATTATTATTTTTTAAATGTTTTTCATAGAAGATATTATCCCCGGAAAGTGATCCGCCGATTGACTAACAACCAGGTTCCTACTTATTGCTAGGTAAACAGTGACGTGTGGAGTAAGGAAACTTGGCTAACGTTTTGCCCTGCCTGGGAATCGAACCCAGGTCCTCTCGCTCGCAAGGCGAGTGCTCTAACCCCTGAGCTACAGGACTCCACGTCCAGAACGCTATGAACTCTTAGGGTGAGGAAAGGGGTCACAGGTGTGAGGGCAGTGTTACAGGGAAGGTCCAGTGGGTTGAAATCTAGACTCATTGCTTCAACTAATTTTGCCTTAAACCCCTTCATTTTCCTCCTCTCTCTCTCTCTCTCTCTCTACCCTTTTTTAGGCTCTTCACACCCAAATGTTATGTACCTGTTTTGTTTTTTTTCCCATCTGGGATGGGATCCTGGCCTTTGCAAAAGTTCTGCAACTACAGAAACAACCAAAACCCCCTCCCCTCTTCCCCAACCCAACACCCAACCCACAATATGCTGAACCCAGAGGATTCCTGCTCAGGCCACCCTGTGGGTGGAAAGTGAGATGGGGGAAGGCAGCAGGTGCACGACCCACAGACTCACTGAAACGAGAAAGAAACTGTTTTGTGTTATTTAGGTGTTTGGACGACATTTTTTATTGAACTTTGAAAGAAACTCGCTAAATATGAGAGGCGAGAGGTAACCTAGATTGTAACCTGGATTGTAAAAGTCATAAAAATTCTTTGACTTGGCTAAAGTGTAATCGTCAGGGACGGAAACGTATTGATTTGGGTTTGCTCATTCACTCAGAACACGAAAATGTCCAAAATGCCAAGGAAATCCCCAGATGCAGTGATTTTGTGAGTCCGGACTCATGGGTGGAAAGTCTCCTCTGCGAGTGGATTTAGGGCGAAATAAATCCCTGACTGGAAAACAGAGGGACTTAGAGAACTTGATCCAAGGGGAGAGATTCTCTCTTTGCCTCTGTCTGTGGTCTTCGAGGGCAATCAAAACAGTCAGCCTCCGTTACTCCCCCAGTGGCACTATTGCACCAGAGTGCTGTGTGCTCTTAGGGTAGGAAAGGTTTCTTCATAATATTTCTGAGTGTGGAAATTTTTAACAATTCTTAAACTCAGCTATAATATTGCAGCAAGTGTTTAAGAGGCTTGCGGGCAGGTTGTGTTCTGATATCCCAGCATCGAGATGGTTTGTGCACAGGGAACCATTCAGAGAAAGAAGGGAAAAAACATTATAGCATAGAATGACATAGAATGATAAGGCACGGAGACACAAACCACTAGTCTGTGCCGGTGTTTAGACTCCACACAAATTTCCACCCCTCCTGTACTCTATTCCTCTCTCCCTCATACATCAAAGTTGAGGGAGTTTTCTACGTCAAGTTTCTTCTTAAATACATTGAAAGGAAAATTGGTCACTCACTTCATGGCTGTTTGTGGGTACATTGCTGTGCGCAAACTGGCTGCCACACCTGCCAACAAAACACAGCCATTCCATTTTACAATATCCAATGAAGCATTTTAGAGACATCCCCACCCCTCCACCCCGATGTAACGCAAGGATTATTATTGTTTGAGAAGCAAAGAGCCAATGGCACCCTCGTCACATAAAATAAGCAAGACGTCCATTTCAGATTATGGGCTATAATTTCAACCATTCATTGAAGTTCAGTAAAGAGCAGCCCGGTATTTACAAAGTGTAATATCTCCAAGGAACTGAAGGTCCAAGGTCACACCTCTGGGGTGTTAACGGTAAATCTTTAATCTTTATGGTTTTCAGACAGGCAGCCAGGTGACTGATGGGAGCTGTTGGACATTTGAAGCCCAGTCTTGTGCTCTAAGCATGCTGAGAGGACACACAATCTGCTCGTTCTGAACAACCGTCTGACTTACTTCCCAAATGGCTTCATCTGGGATACAGTTGACCGGCCTGGTCTTCGCCATCATCGGGATGGTGGGTACATTATCGGCGACCATTATGCCTCACTGGAGGATCACAGCGCACATCGGCTCAAACATCGTGACTGCCATCGTGTACATGAAGGGGCTGTGGTGGGCCTGCGCCATGTTCAGCACTGGCATCTTTCAGTGCGAGACGTACAACTCCGTGCTGGAGCTCCCGCCCGACCTGCAGGCCGCCCGCTCCATGATGGTCATCTCGGTGGCTATGGCTTTGGTGGGCATCGTGGTGTCCGTGGTCGGCATGAAGTGCACCGTCTGCGCCAAGGACTCGCCAATCAAGAACAAGATCGCGGGCGCCGGAGGCATTTGCTTTATGCTGGCCGGCTTCATGTCCCTGGTGCCCATCTCGTGGACCATGAATGAAGTGATACAGTATTTCCGCAACCCCTTGATCCCAGGCGACCTCAAGTACGAAATCGGTGAATCTCTGTACCTGGGGATGGTGTCCTCTTTGGTGTCTGTGATCGGAGGAGCGATGCTCACCATGTCCTGTATGAGCAGGCGCATTAATCCTCGGACACTCTACAATAGACGGCCAGTGTCCTACCAGAACCCGCCAGTGACCCGCAACGTCCCCAACATGTCTGCCGCCTCAGTCCAGTCAAAGCAGCCAAAGGTTGACTTCAACGGTTACAATCTTACTGGCTATGTGTAATGTACAGTGAGGGTATGTGTGAGCGAGTGAGTGTTTGTGTGTCAGTTGTGTGCAATGGTACAGAACAGAGACCACAAAGTGCTTTTGAACTAATTACCTCGAAGCAGATTAATTTTTAGACCACGGTGGGACTTCAAGGGAATCATTTACAAAGTAATCCTGCTGTTAAAACCTTACGTCCCTGATCGCTGTGCGGAATTCATTGCAATTGAAGCGAATGTTGGTATATTGTATTGAGATAAAAGTATCAGCAAATCTATGGCTGCAACACCCCACACACAGCAAAAAGACAAGAAGCCAGGTAATATATTAATAATAATAATTCTTGCATTTGATATAGCTCCTTATCATATCTTCGAGATGTCTCAAAGCGCTTCACACAATATAGTGTAAAGTGAATTGTATACTTTGTGGGCAAAACATTATTTTGTGGTTGAAATATTGTGGAGGTTAAAATTAAGGATGTGTGGGTATGTGAGAAAAGCGGGAGAGGGAGGCTAAAGCTTTTGTATTTTAGTTTTTTTCAAGCGTCCTTACTTATCAATATTGTGGAGTCTGTAGCTCAGTGGTTAGAGCACTCGACTCACAAGCCAGAGACCTGGGTTCGATTCCCAGTGGGGCAAAACCTTGGGCAAGTTTCCTTTCTCCACAAGTCTTTATTTGCCGAGCCCAGTTGTTAGTAGATTGGCGGATCGCTTTCCAGGGGCAATAATCTCTTCCAAAATATCTAAATAAATAATAATAATAATTTGGTCATTCAATCCACGACTGTTTGTGGGGCACTGCTGTGCGCAATTGGCTGCCGCGTTTCACCCATAAAATATAGTCAATTCGCTTTACAGTATATTCTGTGAAGCGCTTTGACACGTCTCGAAGACGCTATATCAAATGCGAGGATCATTATTATTATGTTGCCGACAACCTGAAGTTAGATAAGAATGAGAGACAGGATCAGACGGGTCGGGGTGGAATTTATAGTCATACTTTCTCTTCCTTGCGAGTGTCGTCTACACGAGCGATGTCGAACCACACAGATATGATGTCGCTCATGAGGGGTCTCGATAAGGATCAAAGCCACCTTAGCTTCACTAGAAAGTATCAGCACGCGTCTCAGATAACTCCAGCGGATTAATTCGCTTACAGAGATGTGTACAGGGCAATTTAAACGTGATATGTGTGCGCGGTAAAAAAATTCTCTAGTCGACATATTGAGTTGAAATAATCATCTAAAATAATACACATTTGAATAACAGAAGAAAGCGAGTAAGTCAATTGGTACATGTGTTTTGAGCGACAATAGAATAATGACAATGGAATGCTTTGTATGTGAAACACACAATTCCCACAGATTATTTTCCATTTAATTAATAATAATTATCTTTGCATTTGATATGGTGCCTTATCATGTCTTCGAGACGTCTCAAAGTGCTTCAAAGAACATACTGTAATGTGAATCGGCTGTATATTTTGTGTTGAAAGAATATAACTTCCACCTCATGATGTCTCTATGCTCTTCGTAAGTATGTTGTGCCAGTTAAATACGAGGAACTTGCATGGACTTGTTTACAAAGTTGCACTCGTAAATTAACAAATTACAGTGGTTCGAAATCGCTGCAAGTTTGAATCGATTGTGGAATATTCGAAAAAGTTCAGTGTTTTCAAAGTACATATACAAGTATGCAATGTCTTTGTTGTAGTGATTCCTCTACGATCGTGCTGTTGCTACTTGTCTTTGATTCCAGTTGTAGTCTCTTGTGTAATGTTTCTCGACTGGTTTGGCTCACGCTGTTGCTCATGTCTGGCCCACACGTTTGGCTCAGGACAAATCTGGGTTCGATAACGCTGGTCTCCACCTCACGCTGCCCCGAGGCAGGGTGACACTGTGCTGGGGAGGGCTTTGCGATGTTTAACACTCTGCTGGGAATGGACGTGATGATAGCAGTTCCCTCACTGAGCTCTCCCTCTCCCTCAGTCCCCAAGAACCATACACACATGAGCCACCATATGGTTTTTGTTTCTTCCGTGGAGACGTACTTCGGAAATCTGTATTTTTGGGGGGATAAATGGGGGGAAGGAAGGGTGTGGGAGAAGAGAAGAGGATAGACAGAAAGGGAGAGATAAGACACTAGAGGAGTGCATCAGATCTGTTGCGATGATTTTATGTATCATTTGATGCAATCTCGGGCAAGTTTCCTTTCTCCTCACGCCTGATAATAATCCCTCAAGAAAAAAAGAACAATAATAAACTTCAATCCACGATTGTTTGTGAGGACGCTGCTGTGCGCAATTGGCTGCCGTATTTCACCCACAAAATATACAGTCAATTCACTTTACAGCATATTCTGTGAAGCGCTTTGAGACGTCTCGAAGACGTGATAAGGCGCTGTATCAAATGCAAGGATTATTATTATTATGTCTGTAACCTAGCAAAGACTTTTTCTAGAGCACGCTGTCCCTTTAATGTGTTAACTTTAATGTGCTGCCAGTTCCCCTGCTTGCCCATTTCCACATAAGCAATTGCCTGGCACAGCACGGCAGCCAACACCTTGACAGACTCAAAGTGACAGAGACACAAGGAGAACAAAGCCCTGAGCTGTGGCGTCTTCAAGTATCTGCTTCTGTAACTAATTGACAAGGAGTTAATTATTGCAAAAGGTATTGAGCCAAACGTTATGTTCTCAAGTTGTACAACATGTGGGTGAAACGATGAAGTAGAGTAACTGGTTTATTCCAGTCGGTGACAAAAAAGTTATCAATTCACATGTGAGCGAGGGACATATGGGTTTACCAGAGCCTCCCTAATGTGCAGGATAATTGGATTTTCAGGGTCCCAGCGTGTATGGACTAATAATAGATAACATACGGATTACTGTAGAGCAAACTGTTTTTACATTTCTCAAGGAATTGCTTGTTGGTTCAAATAACTTGTACACTGTGACCGGAGCCGGTGTGGGCATTTGGGGCATTGCAGTCACACAGGCAAAACTAACCAATCATTCTCTGCACTACTTGTGAGGCTTGAAGGTAGGGGCAAAATAGATGTCACTGGTGGAGTGAAAGTTGGTGTGTTGGGTCCTGAGCCAGTGCACACCGAGTGGCATGATCTTGGCTTCAATCCTTGCTCTGAGCTGTGGCTCTCGATCTCCGTCAGGGAGGCAGGGAGATAGCCTTAGTTCACACAAGTACCATTCGGCCCATTAGATTGTGTCAGCTGTGACACTGGAAACTTCCATCATCCCGATTCCCTTTACCCCATTGTACATTTTTCCTCTTCAAATCCCTATCCAATTGTTCCTAAATGCCATTATTGTCTCTCCTCAAAGACACTTGTGGAGAATGTTCTAATAAACCTGCCCTGGGCAGTCAATGTGTGAATTCCAGACTGTCTTCTAACCTTCCCAGTAACTGCACTTGGTCGAGGGCTAGTTCTTGATCACCCCTAGTGACTCTGGGCTGGAAATGTTCAAGGTGGGGGCTGGGGTTGGGTTTGTGTTTGGCTGTAATGCGTCACACTCTGCCCACTGATTCTGTCTAAATCAACATGGCATGAGCAAAATTCAATCCCCTTGTCAGTACAAGGGCCTTTGTGGAACTCCACCCCACTGCCTTCAGGATAGTGGCTTGGGAAGGTGGGGTTTGGGGGAACAATATGAACACAAACCGAAAACAACACACAATTAATTCTTTCTCGAGCCACGTTCCCACTGCATCTGTGCTCTATCCTCCTCAAGCCAAGTTCTTCCTCAAACCACAGGCATCACATCTTCTTTTCTGACTCCCTCAACAACAACTTGCAGTTATATAGCGCCCCTCACGCAGGGTAGGGGTTCAGAATGTTTGATAGAGGTAGAGCACGATGCCAAGCCAGGGAGAGGTGACCTTAGGCACAGTCAAAGAGGAAGGTCTTCAGGGTGACCTGAAAATGGGTGCTAGGAGGGGGCAAGGTGAAGGGATAGAGGGAGAGCGTTCCAGTTTGGGGGAAAAAAAGCTTTTGGATAGCCTTAAATCCTAAACAGCAACAGCCATAGGCAGATGTTTTGAGGCAGCAACATACTGATGGCTTCAGACAGGTGGCTTAACTCTTGTGATCTATGATAGCCCTTGAGTTCCAAGATAGTAGACTGTATGTAGCATCTAATGTCCTGCAGACACCCCCATCCCTTACCCTTCAATAAGAGAATGTGCCTCAGGTCATTCTGGTGTGAAATCCTGTGTCGCAGTGACATGAGCTGAGGTTTGAGAGTTCAGACTGTGCCAATAACCTTTCATTGTCTTTCATTTCAATGGTGTCATTGGGTAGTGTGTGTGTGGGTGTGTTTTTTTTGGAAAAATAGCACGCTTTGGCTGAAGGCACGTTTGAATATGTCGCCTGCCAATTCATGCTTTAGCATGTACTGTGTATGGTCCTTAATATAGCTACAGTACATCGAGTCCTCAACCCACTTGCGAGAGTCCTGTCTGAAGGGTTTCTGGTGTTTAATGGCATTAGATGGGCCGTGCTTGATTGCCTGAGGCAGCAAGTCCCAACACCCAAATAACACATTTTTCATGCTTTTAATATTTGTTTCAATTTTTAAGAAAATCAAATGATAGGAACCAGGACAACAAGTCAATAGAGCAACCGGTAGTGAGTGTTTTGGACAATCTCACTGGCCTTTCCACCTCTTACAGCTGGTTTACAATGCAGTCAGGCTAATGGGATGCTAGTGAGCACGTAGGGGTGCTGTGTGGAGGGCAGTCTCAACTGGATATAAGAACAAAGTGTAAAACAAGCCCAAGTTTGGTAATTGTTTTCAAAGTGGCCACCTGACGGCTGGTGTTGGTAATGGAAATCATCACCCAGGTACAGTCGGGGATATGGGCTTCCAAGGTTGAGTGTGGGGTAGATTAGCGATATTCAGCATCTCACAGTGCTGGAGCTAATCTGGGAAAGGAGTGGCGAGTGGGAAAGTTTAGAGGCAGCTTTACTCTGTCTTTAACTCTGACCTGGGAGTGTGGAC